GTAAATGAGAACTTATTTAAGGAAATTTTTAATTATAATTTGAAAAGAAAAATATTTACCCGGCTTAAAAGAAGTCAAATATACATGCCTTCAAATTCGTCATACGATGGGTTAATTTATATAAATTTGTATGTATGTAAAGTATCTACTCATGTGTCCGATAATTGATTCAGTAGTATGCTAAATAAATACTTTATGTAGACTTAATATACGCTCTCCTTAATTATAAATTTATTTAACTACTCACATTGTATATCCTCCAAACTCATTCATTTCCCTTCGCCGTTTATATATATCATCTTTTCTTCTCCATTTCTTTCGCTTTCAGATCCAGATAGTGGCGCAGCAGTGAATAATGTTATTGGCGGTCCACCTGGTAGTACACCACCACCCTATGCGTCCGATGGTAAAATGGTGAATTCCCAAGGGGGTGGTGGTGGTGGTGGCGGCGGCGGCGGTAATGCAGGAGCTGGCGGTGTTTTACTCTCCGAGTTGCCAGAACCACCAATACCGGTGTCCGAAATTGGTCCAATCCCACCGCCGCCTATGTTTTCCACACCGAGTCCAACATTGATTGCTGGTCGGCCACATGGGCCGGGTGCAATGAATGATCAAGGTTATCAGGATTACGATTATGATGGTAGGCATGGTGAATGTGAATTCATATTATTAGTTATGTGTATGTACACATTTATGTACTACGTATGTGCTTAAAATTATATTTCTGCAAGTATTTGTAAGCGCGTGATTTGTAAGGTTTCTTTTTATATTTTGCGCAAGAAAACTCAATTTTTAAGCTTTAAAGTCTTCAAAAAAATAACATATATTTGTTATGAATTTAAGAACATTTTTTGGATTTTTTTGCTCCCTCGACAAATAGATTTGTATACGTTTAGTAGTAAAAACAGCGGCAGTGAAACCATCTACTAGTTGTAGGTACAGTGCCGGACAAAAGTATTGGCATAGAGAATTTTGCGCAATATATGCAAAGTTTTTTATACTAATTTATTTTCAATAAAAATATAGTTCGTACTTCACCAAAAAAAAAAAAAAAAAAAAAAAAAAAAAAAAAAAATGGCCTAATTAAAAAAAAATAAAGTAGCTTTAAAAAAGGTTTATAAACTGAAAAATGTATGAAAACGTAATTTTATAAAGCTCTTTAAATCTATAATTTAAATAACTAATTTAAAGTTAAATTGTCCTAAACTACACACTTTATCATACAAAAAAAAATTTTATAATCAGGGACATAACAGTTATACGTTTTATAGCAAAAACGTTGCTCCATAACAGTTATTAGATGAGAAAGAAGAGTTATAACCCAACGTTCTTTTTAAGTTGCCTGATAACTGTTATGCCGGAGAAATATTTTTTCCGTTGCCGATTAAATTTATTTTACAACGTTTATTTTTTACGTTGCTTGATAAAAGTTATTTTACAACGTTTATTTTTTACGTTGTCTGGTAAACGTTGTAAGATTGGCATATTGATGAAGGTAGAGATGGAGAACAAGATAGAGATGATGAAATGAAAGTGAGAGAGTGAAATAACTCTTATCGGTAACGGAGAAAATATTTCTCGTTTAATAACTGTTATGAAACAACGTTTTCGTTAAACTTCAGAATTTGGGCAACGTTTTCAATTTGAAAAATTCGAGATAATAGTTATTTTTGGTGCCTGGTTATAATTGTTATAAATATGTGTTTTCGCAATAGTTTTTTTTTTTTTGACGATATTTTTTTTTTATTCACGCTACTATGAAAAGGCATTTATCCATAAATAAGCGCCGATCGAAGCTGTTTCGATTTGATAGAATTGGATTTTTTCGACTGAAACAATGTAAATTAAAATTTAAAATACAACAATTTAGCCTAAATAGCATGCTGTGTTTAAAAATGCAAATTTTAAAAAGCAGTTCCGTTCAAACGATGTGTTTTGAGACAGCTGTTATTTCCATTAAAGGCTATCAGCAGAATATTGACAAAGTGAACTACCGGCCGAAATGATTATTTGTTTCGATCCAATCGAAAAAATTACAGCAGTTTTTTGCGCCAAAGCAATTTAAATTGGCGCAGGGCACGCGCAATCCAAAGCCCTGAACTCAAATTCAAATTACGGTTCGAGTCAAATTTGATATCGAATACCGCGATTCGGACCGTGAATCTTCTCCAGCCCTTGCGACTTTAGTCAAAAGAGACAAGCTTTGGCCATAAAATAGCTAGAAAGTGGCTGTTATCAAAATATAAACACATGTAAAGTGGTCGCGATCGTTCAGCATACATGTCACTAATACGCCATGTCTTCTATTAAGTGCCTACATGGCGTATGAGTGATTTCTACTGGGTATTACAACAAATTAGCTAAAATAGAAAAAATTACAAACACAGCCATATTTAAGAAGCGATTAGGCAGTGCTAAAGATTTATTCTAGCATATTTTTTTTCAAATATTTTCACTTATTTATGCAGATTTCGTTTCTACCGAAAAATGCAACCTTCTCTTTGCCCTCTATGAACAAACACTAAGAAGAGGGCGATGAGAAGGAAACATATTTTGTAGAAACGAAAATGCCATTAAATATTTTATTGTCTTCAGCTTTTTTTTAATGCCTTTTAAAATCATAGTCGATTTTTCTGGCTTGACTTTCCGCCACTGCTTGTTTTTTCTTCATTTTTTAATCCATCAATTTTATATCATGACAGGACTTAGTGTCAAAGCGATTTATTTGTGCATCAATGAAAAATCCAAAAAGCTCAAACTTCTTTGAGTTCTACACATTTCATGCACGTATTTCATTATTTTAACATCCTTTGTAATTCATTTTAAGCTATCTTCATTTATTTTTGCTACCCACATGCTATTGCCAATGTCATTGTTTTATTATTACGTCATAGGCTTTTTATGAGCATTGTAAACACAATTTTATTGCCAGTTTTTCACTACCTCTAAAGTGTTGATAATGCTCTTGAGTTTACATTAATGGGTAATTCTTGTACGCGCATTAACTTAAACAATACATTCACATAAATGTATACATATTTATGTTGAGTGCGCTATGTATGTACATACATACACATTAGGGTGCATCACCAGAAAAAGTAGCGGTCTCTCCACCGGAATCATATACGTTATTATATTTAAAAACTTGCGCCAAAAATGATTCTGCAAAATATCAAGTTTTTTTATGAAAATAAAAAAAAATTGTTTTAAAAAATTCTTTGCCAAAAACTCACCTCAGATGATAGAGGAGTTAAAGCTTAAAAGGTTTTTTTTTAATTTTTTTGAGCTTGAGGCCGTTTTTAATGAAAAATAATGTGAAAAAAGAACAACAATTTACTTAAAGTAGAAGTTAAAGGTCTGCATAAAAATGTTTGAACATTTTTTAACAAAACAAAATAATGTGATTTTTGGTGGTATTTTCAAATCGGTCCAACTCACTTATATCTTAATATTATTACAAAATATTTCGGCGAAAGTCTTAGAATAAAATAGATTTTATAATTCCGTTGGAAAAACAATACCGATTTTTTTTTTTTTTGTGTTGCCCCCTAATGTGGATACATTAAAAGGTATACGTTCTTGGTAGTATTAAGAAGACAATGATGCTGCTACTTAAATTTACGTTTCATTTTATATAGCATCCGTCTACCTACATACATATATACATACACCTACGGTCAAAATTATAGCAGTGTGGCATTTTGACCATATTTATACATTTCTTATAAAAGTGTAGCTCATTTTGTAGCAAACACCATATAAATCCACATTTCAAACTTCGTTAAGAATTTTGAAAGTAAAAGCGCCCTGAAAGATGCTAAGGAGTTACATATAAGCATATAAACCAATAAAATCAAATTATCTAACGATAACTAAAACTAACATAAAAATGAAAAAAAAATGTATCGACTCATCGTTGAAAAATTCAACAAATTTTCACCAAAAAAATTCAATCTGTATATTCAGAATTAAAAAAAATAGTTATGCAATTTTATAGCCTATACAATTTTAACTTAATAAAGTTTGAACTGGCTAGAAACCGCATTGATTTTTAATAATTTTTTTCTGGCGCTGCTAGAGATGTTCCCTACAGAACAAGTAATTTTTAGCAAAAACAGAAAACGACTTCCAAAGTTATGCGGTAACATACATAAAAAAAAAAATATTCCGACGAACTGATAACCTTCTCCTCTTTTTGAAGTCGGTTAAAAAGAAATGTTGAGCATGCTTTACATGCACAACAGCGTCAGCAAAAAAAAAAAATATTTAAAATCCACGCGAATCCCCAGTCACTTCAAAGTTGCACTTCTTTTAAAATTTAATGGGCTATACTATTGCATACCTAAAATTTTTCTAAAAATTCTGAATAAAAGGTTTGTAATGTCGGTGAGAATTTTTTGAATTCTTGAAATTTTTGTAAAAATTTGAAATGTGGATTTGTATGGTGTTTGTTATATAATGAGCTAGACTTTTACAAAAAAAAAAATAATAAACATTAAATAAACGAACAAAAATAGCAAACACGGTTAAGCAAACACTGCTGCGGTTAAGAATGTGACACTGCTATTATTTTGATCGTAAGTGTTACTCCTTTTTTATTTATTTTTTCACACCTCATTTTAATAGTTTGTGTATCATAAATCAAAAATCTTACTTTTAACACCGAAATGTCAATGAAATTCGCTACAAATCGCTTGTGTAATCCAATGCTTGTAGAAATATGTAACATACATAAGTACGTATCGTGCACATTCCTATATACATATATCTACATACTTATTGTTTTTTTTATTTTGTTAAAATTAAATCCTTTTCTCGTTCAGATCATG